GGAGGCAGCAAGCATAGTCTCCTCATGGCTGCTGCTGGGTCGCAATATTTTCAGGGAGGGTTTATTTTAGCACATGTGCTCAAAAGCCCGATTGGGCTTATTGTCCGGGGAGGTCTTATTTTTGGGGAAACAGGGTATATAAAATTATGGCAATATTTTATGGATGTAGTATATACCTATACTATTATAAAAGAAGTTCTGGTTTCATCTGAATGTTTGTCTTTAAAATTCTTTGTATGTACAAATATGTATTTGTATTCTTTTGTTTTTTTACTTTTTCACAAGTCCTACATGTATGTATGGTAAAATAACCTTGTGTTTTTTATATTTCCAATACTGACATATATACACCTTAGATAATTTCTCTGGTGTCATATGCCAACAGCACATTATTATGTAAGCATTTTCTCTTAAATGGTGTCACAATGTGAATTTCAGTCCTTTTAACATTCTCTCCCATTCATATCTATATACTATATATACTCGTGTGATCGTCATTTCCATTGCTCCTCCTGTTAGTGGAGAAATTGGCATGAAGTGTAAACTTAATCATGATTGCTGATAGCTGTTCACTATCAGCTTCCCAGAATCAAAGTCTCCTCCACCTGAAGAATCCCTCCAATCCCTTATGTGCTCGCACCATACTGCCACTTCCACATTACTGTGTACTTTCTTTACCCATATTGCACTTGCCTGCATGTGCAGCACCTCTCACACACACCCATACACCCAACCCATATCACACTCCATGTAGTCTCCAACTCAGATTGCATCATACATACACCCTTCCTGCTCTGCCCCCCTGTACACCTTCCCTGTCTCACATGGCAATTCATGGACTTCCATATGGCTTCCTAACCTGTGCAGTACCTCCTACACAAGTTGGGAGAATGTGCACGGTGCAGCATTGGCCAGGAAGAGTGTATGGATAAGGAAGTATATGTGAGGGGCTGCATGAGAAACACCAGTGAGTCAGAAAGTTTTCAGGGAGCTGCAAGCAAGGAGCACAAAGGATCACAACTTTGGGGAGTACAAGGTAGGTAAGCAAATATCTCTGAAACAATGACCCAACAACTTACAAGTTATATATTTATAACCAATATTCTTAACCATTTTATCATGCACTCTTTAACTTTTTCTTCTGTTTCAAATATCAGCAAATATTTATGCATTCTAGCAATAATATATTCACCATTTGCAAACAAAACAATTTCAAATGTTGTTTTATGTTGTTAAATCCCAACTATTTTTTATCTACATTAAATCTTTTTCTTCATTTTATGTATATGAAAACCATTGACAACTAAATCCTGCTGTAGTGAACTATACTTTGACTTAATCTTAAATTCTACATAGTCCATTACGAGTAAATCTTGATATATTAACCATTTGTCTTTGCTCACTGTTTCTTTTCTATAAAATGCTTGTTGTGCTGAAATCAATAAAGATATTTTTGGACATAGCCTGAGTTTATCTATTCCATATTCTTAGTATGGCATTCCTAGCATAATTTTTAAAATCAACATTTACTTTAACCTTCTTGTACATTAAAAAGCAAAACCATCCAAACCTCAGATTATGTTCTTCTCATTATAATATTCTTTTACTTCTCAACAGCACTCTCTAGTCAAATATCAGGGTGCAAAATACAATTTACAAATACAACTCAGGCAATCCTAATCCTCTTTCTTTCGCGCCTTGAAGAATTTCATATTTAAACCTTCCATTTTATTTTCAGAGCCCTAATACCCACTTGTCACTTTTTACAATTAGGGAGATGAGGACCACATGGTGACTCTGTGTTATGAGACAATTCAGGATGGCCATTCAGTTCTTGTATTTTGCCCAACAAAGAATTGGTGTGAGAAATTATCAGACATTATTGCCAGGGAATTCTGCAGTATTCAACAAAAGTGTAAGTCAAGAGGGATTGAAGAAGAGAAGGGTTTTGGAGAGAAAGCATAAGTTTTTAACACTGTTTTCCTTTCTGAAGATCTTCAAAAGATGTCAACCCTTTCACCAGTCACACTGTGCCAGGAAGGGATAGAAAAGTTGCTGATTCAGTTAAAGCGGTCTCCTTCTGGCTTGGACAGTGTGCTTCACCGGACTATCAAATGGGGAGTTGCTTTTCACCATGCAGGTACACTTTTTGTTATTATCATACTTCTCAATAAGTGCATAGATAGAATGAAATTTCAAGCATGGTTGTGATCAAGTAGAGATGGAGAAGAATGCCTTAAACACATTGAGTTTGATCTGTAGGCCTTAAACTGGTGATGATTGGAAATAAAACTAGATGTAAAAAAATTCAGAAAAACTCCTGTTCAGGTAGAAGGAAATGAAGTAGTAATTATGTTGAGATTATGAAGCCACTAAATTAATATAGAAAAAATGTTGACATAAATTGTGGCTATTGTGATCTATATAATAAAATAATAAAATATAATATATAATTACATTTTAATAATGAATAATAAAACTATGGACATAAAATAAGATGAATTGAACATAATTGGAAGATTCTTATGATTACCGTAGAATAGAATAATTGAAGGAATAGACTTATTCAAATACTACAGAAGTAATGGAAATCGAGGAAGATTTGCCTTGCATGTTAAAAATAATTCATGTTGAAGAGAAATCCAAGGAAATGACCTTGGTGGCACTGTTAAAAGGATCTGTATTAAATTAACCAGAAGAACTAATAAAAGTATCAACACTGGTGCCTTTTATTTTAATACCACCTTGTCTTCATGAGATTAACTATTACTAGATAGTTAATCATAGATTTCAGGCAGGGAATCTATATCTCAGCAGAATCACATGGGTTTTGGCATGAACACAATAAACAGTTCAGAACATTTTAAGCAAGAAGGCGCATGTAATATTGGAATTGTCAATATATTAACAGGAATTGTTGTGCATGTACTGGTATGTACCTTGAGACTATACACCTTAATTAAGTTAGAGCATTATAGTAGGAGTCCATGTAGCCAAAGTTGTTTGTAAAAGGAACAAAAAAATAGATGGCTACAAAAAAGGAGAGATAATAAAGCCACAAAAGGATATCCTAAAAGGAAAAAAAATGGAGGATAGTAAAAACCAATGTGGTTAGAAAAATCATTAAGTGAATATCTACAAATTGTAAAGAACAATACATAAACAAGGAAAGAGGAGTATGTCACTAAAGAAAGTACATAGAAGTAAATCTGAAAGTATAGAAGGTATCAGAAAAGCAAAACCTTAGAATGAGTTGAAATTAGTGAGGGATGTTAAGAACAGTACATATTTTTCAAGTTTGAAATTAAAGGCAGGAAGAAATTGGGCTTTTGACTGTAACAGTGAGCAAAGCTATTCTGTTGTGAATGTCAAGAGTTGTCATTCCTCAGGTAGGAATTGTACAGAAAAGGGTCTTTTTTGGAATGATCGCATGATCAAGAGCAGGGATGCTTCCAGTGAGGCTGGGATATTTTTGTTTCCTCTACCACTATTGTTAATTCTTTTAATGTTTAATTAATACATTTAATTGTCATTTTTACCATTTTATTGTAAACTAATTGAAATTTTTAATGAAAATGAAAAGTGGTATATATTAAACTTACAAAGCATATTGATCTTAAACTATTTTTCAGGTTTGACATTTGATGAACGAGACATGATTGAAGTAGCTTTCCGTCAAGGCGTCCTACGAGTTTTAATAGCAACTTCTACACTTTCTTCGGGGGTAAATCTGCCTGCACGTCGGGTAATTATCCGAACTCCTGTATTTGGTAGCAGATTGTTGGATATCTTGACATACAAACAAATGGCTGGAAGAGCTGGAAGGAAAGGAGTAGATACTATAGGTAAATGCATTTAGAGCCCTTTATCTGTTTATGTTTGTAAATAGAACAACAGTGAGTCTTGTGATACTTTAAAATCCAAAACATTTCTTGTAGAATAAATTATCCAAGGATGCAATCTAAAAGATGTATCAATGATCCAGATCTGAATGACTAACTCATTCACTAACTGATTCCTCTTTTGATTCTGGAATTGAATCCAGTCCTGGGAGCATGAAAGGTCTTATTTTGTCTGGGGAGGCTGGTAAAACAGTTGTATTCATTTTGGAGCATTCATATACCTTGCATTTTCCCATGAATCGGGTAGCCCTTCTATTGAATCAAATTCTGTATTCCTTTCTCCTGCCTCCAATTATTTCTTCCACTTCGAACTCCTTTTTGCCTTCAACAGTCACGGGGAGTGTGTGGGGGGTAGATGCTGTTGTGATATAGAAGTGCTGAGTGGCGCTTCCTTCATCAGCAAAGAATGCTGAAAACTGAGTGCATTGTCATAGACTGTGGCAATTAGAAATGAAAGGCCACAATATTGACCTGTCATAGGGCCTTAACACGGCAAGGAAAAGGCTAAAAGTTTGGTAGGCAGCCACACATTATCTCCCTCTGTATTTGTCAGCCCCTATTGCCAATGGAAGTCTGCAAACTTTTTGAAAAAATTGTTTAGCTTGGTCTAGCTATTCTTTCAACAGTGCTTGAACAACGCATTGCTTCTATAGAAAAAAATTATGACCCCAGGGATGAGAACCTGTTGTGAGGTTGCAGGTGAAACCCTTGGGTGCCTCCCGTGTAAGGCATGGAACAGAGTCATTTCAATTGATTCATGGATATAATTATATGCAAATTCAGCTAATGGTGTAAGTGACAGCCAGTTGTCCTGGCTGTATGTAAAATAACACCTTAAATAGTGTTGCAGCAACTGGTCAGTCTTAGCCTTCCTGTTTGTAACAGGGTGGTGGGCTGATGGCAAACTGATTTGTACCTTCAAAAGCTGGAATAATGCCTTCCAAAACATGGAACTAAATTGACTTCTGTGATCTGAAAGCGCTCCAAAAACCATTCATCTGTAACAAAAGGCATCCAGATGAAATGTGCTATCTTGCTGAAAAGATCCTCCTCCACCACCATCAATATGGATGGGGCCCCTGTTCTTCAGCTGGTGGCCCCCCTGAGGAAAGGGGAGGTATCATTTTAAAAATAAGATTAGGCATAGTGCATGTTAGACAAAGTAGAATAACAATACATCTGTATGAGTAATATGTGGTCTTCTGGTTGTTGCTGAACTGCAGTTTCCATTATTTCTCACCATCGACCATGGTGATAGAATAAATAAATGAGAGATGCAGTTTAGTACCTGCTCATTCCTGTCCTAAAAACAAAACAAAGTCAAAATTATTTTCCATGAGCAAGTCTTTGAGAAGTCATGGATAAATATGCTTGCAGCCTAGGTGGTCAAATATTATTTATGCATGAGAATGCTGTTAAACCAATATAATTTTTTTCCTAATTTATGACGTATGTAACAGGTGAGAGTATTTTGGTATGTAAGCCCTCTGAAAAATCAAAAGGAATTACTCTTCTCCATGGTAGTATGAAGCCACTATGTAGCTGTTTGCTTAGCCTCAATGGAGAAGGAGTCACCTCCAGTATGTTACGGGCAATTCTTGAGGTATGTAATGCAATGAATAAATGAAATGTTCATAATATAAATATTATTTGTTAACAAGATTTTGCACTATTTTTATGAAGCTGCTAAATGCAGTTATAGGAATTTTCAAATTACCATAAACATAAACTCAATCTCAAATTATCTACCAATATAATCTCCTTGACAGTAACTGCTCATGTAAAAAAAGGGATGATGAGATTCTGAAAAGTGAAATGATATTTTTTTTAAAAAAGGGATAGTGGTATTAGTAGTCTCCAGAGATTAGGAGATATAGGCCAGCAAGCATCATTTTTCTGTGGTGGTGCGAGAACTTAAATGTCCCCTGAAATCTAATCAGATCCTACCATGATAGGATTTAGGAAATTATTAAAACAGATATTTTTAAAAGGGCCTGGATGTTAATTTCTCATTTTATCACTTTTTGGTTGTTTTATTTTATCCATTCTACATTTATTGCTTATTGTTATAAGAACATAGACATTTCATGGCTAAGACATAGCCAAACAATTTCAAGATTAGAGAGGTATAAAAAAATTAAATGTCAGTACATTTATGTATTTTTGTTTATCCTAAGGGAATATTGATTTATAGTTATAGAGATCTATACAGTTATAGAGATTTATACATGTTTGAAGACATGTCAGTGTTTGAAATGTATGCAATATACAAAACTATTCCTGATATGTACAGACTTAAAAAGATAACTTTCAAATGTAATGCATATTTTTTCAAGTATGTTTATTACCCTTCTTTTCTGATAGATCATAGTAAGTGGAATAGCTAGCTCTTCAGAAGACATCCAGAGTTATTCATCCTGTACACTCCTTGCAGCTAGTTTGAGAGACTTCCAGGACTGTAGGAAAGACCAGGAGAAAATTTGTGATGGATCTATTGAGAGTTGTGTAAAGTGGCTGCTTGAGAAAGAATTCATCATGATTTCAGTATCGGATGTTGGCAAAGGTAACAGTGCTAATTGATGAATTGCAGAGGTTGCAGCATGTCCACCTATCTCTTCCCACCCTCCATCCTTGCCCTGACAGGTTCCCAAAGGTACTGGGCCTGCTTTGTCCCCCTGTTCCACCCCTCACAATTCTTGCTTTCCTTCCGGAGATCTGCAGAACTCCGTATAGTGGGCTGTTCTTACTGGCCACATGGAGCAGCCG